AACCAAACCAAAAGTGGATACTAAAGTTCAACTAAGGTTTTCTTTATATTGTTATCTCAATTTACTTTTTTTTCCAAGCATCCTACATACAAAACCCCCTTTTACACTATAAAAACATTTTAAAAAAAAAAGAAACGATCCATTTAGCCTCTTTTCCTATGTGTTCGACCCTTACCTGTCCTAAATATGGTCTTGTGATTGGGTTTAGTGAAAAAGATATAAATTATTAATTTGTTGGTGGTACTACATGCCATCAAATTTTGGCATCATTATAGTGAAGGATTATATTTAAATTAATTATTTCTTGGTATTTTGATTCTTTTTATCAATTTTTTTTTAACATGATTTGATATTCTCAATAGTTTGGCTCTCAATACAACCTACAATATGAGAGATTCGAAGAGTTAAACACATATGTTATTACGTAACGATTTCTAACCTAACCTCTCTAAGTGTGTCAAATGGGTATAGGAAATACGTAACAAGTCCATAATTGTGGCATATGTTCATTGATAGAGCATTCATCCGATAGGTGCCCAATGCTATAAGAAGAACCTATTGGTGTGTATTATGCCGTGAGTGGATTTTCAAAACAACTACAATACTAATATAGCCCTTGCACTTGCACTAGTTATGGGAATCAAGTGGTTGACAATGTAATTCATAATTGTCAAATATATCAACAAGTACAACCACCATTCCAAGCTAGACAACAAGTTACTTTAAATTTAAATATATCTCTTAAGGATATTATTAATTCTCTTGTAATTGTAACTATGCAATTTCACTAGGAAATAAGAGCTAGCATTCAAAATTTGGAGACTTGAGTGTGTCAATTGATCGTATTAATAGCTAAGGTAGAAGTACAAGCATCAAGCAACTTTCCTTCAAAAAATAAATAAGTTTGAAATAATATTCAAGTGTAACAAATGAGGGAGAGGATGTGCTAGACAAAGAGCAAATTATTAAAGATTTCAAAATAGAGTTAACTTTTAATGAAGAGGTAAACAAGATTGTGGTTGTCGATGAACCGACCAAGCTAGAAAATAATTTTGAGCAAGTGGACTTGGATAATATTTTTTTGATGTGCCCACTATTGAATTTGTCCTTCCAAATTAGTTCAATAATGATACTAACAAAATTGAGTTTTTCTTGCCATCATTGGTTCTTGTTTTGCGAGTCTTATCCATGCTATTATCACTTTTTATTCTCTATTATTTTAAGATTAGAGGAAGATTTTTATCTAATTTTATGAAAGCAATTTTCATTTGGAACTAAAGTCAATGAGCCATATATGGATCCCCACCACTTAAAATGAAGGATCCAAATTAATGGACAAAAGTGACATTGAGCCAACGACGTCAAACAAAAATGCTTATTGGAAGATAACTTGATAAATTTCTTTTGAATTTTACTATTTTAATTGTTTCAATTCATGTTTAAATTAGTTTAGTTTAATTTTTTTTTTTTAGATTTCCCTCATGCTTGACTTGATTTAGAGAGTGTTGCGAAGCATAGGTGCTCTTTAGTGTTGAAGGAAGGAGGGGAAAAGAAACACACATAGGCGTAAAGGGAGAACATAGTTTGTGCATGTCAACAAGCATGGCCATATGTGTGTTGTGGTTACAAATTCAAAGAAACAAAAGATACGAGACATGGGCAGTGGGATGTTGTATGAATTGCAAAAGGTAATCCACACGCCCATGTGAGAGATAAGCTCATACAAGGGCAAGAAAGAAAGAAAAGGGACATGACTAGTAGCATTCCACATGGGTTGTGCACTATTTTGGCATGCTTGTATGGCCGTTCGATCTCCAAAGAAAGAAAGAGACACGAGCATGTTTCTCTAGCTCTTTTATCTTCACTAGTGCCTTTTTGATCTGCTACATTCCAAATTTGATCTCTAATCCTTTTCCTTTCAAGTTTATATGTTTTGTAATCAAGTATGTTGAATATTGAGGACAATATCCAATTTAAGTATATGGGTGCATTTAGCATTTGGTTTTTCTTTTTGTCTTTATGTTTATTTGTAAAATTTTGTATGTTTGTTTTAGGTTATTCCCCTATATAAAAAAAATTGAAAAAAAAAAGAGATGAAACGAATGTCATGGTTTAGTATGATGCTCTTCTTGATTGATTTTTGATGTTGAATTTGATGAAATGTGATGAGATGAATGAAAATATTTGGAATATTATTGTTGCAGATATGCATGCATGCTAGAAAGCTTTATGTGTCTTTATGATTGAACATAATTTAGGTAGTAACACTAACTTTAAAAAGAAAGAAAACCCTTTGGAAACCAAACCTAAGCACAGTTGAAATAAATGGGATTTTCTAATTTTTATGAAAAATTGAGAAAGAAAGTTGACAAGCATTCCATTAGAAAAGTTTGGGCTAAGTAAGTAAAAATTCTACTCCAATAATTTGAATTGCTTAGTAACTAGGAGTATTTATCACAAATTTTTACTTTTATGTCAAATGATAATTCAAATTATAAGTATCCAAAGCACTTTAGATTGATAACTTGTTATAAGTAGTTGGTTGCCTTCATCATAAATGTCGATAGTCGCCTAAAAAGGCAAATGATCATCTAAGGAAAAGCTATTACGGCCTTGAAACAAAAAAAAAAAAGGATGATTACAACAAAAAAGTTTTGATTACGAGAAAATCTCAATTAATTATCTTGCTTGTAATGGTGGAAAAGGGGTAAAAGTAAAATTGGTGTTGTATGATTGAGTTATGTTTAGTTATGAAGATGCATAAATTAATTTTGAGACAAACATTGATATGATAATAATATATTAAAGATGATCGAGTTGAATATTAAATTTTGTTTAATTCTAAATTGAGCACCAATGTTTTAAGAAGAATCATACTAGCATGACATTTGTTTGAATGATTTTGTGGGTTTATCATATGAAAACCCTCACGAAACACAACTCATCTACTCGGGATAACCTAGGGGTTTAAAGGCTTATTCATATACTAAATGCAACCGTGATTCCTACGAAAGTGAGTAGGTTTTATTTTATTTGCTTTGCTCGAGGATTATTAAATTTTAAATGTGGGAGTATGTGATGAGTACATAATTAGCATGATGTTTATACTCTATTACATTAAACTTCCTAGTGTTTATTATATTATATTAGGATAATTAAGATCAAAATGATGGTTTCATATTTTATAGAAAAAATGACAAATCGGAGCAAGGAAATGCAAAACCAAAGAAAGGAAGAGAGAAGTCGCCAAAGAGACTTAGAAGAGTAACACGGTCGTGTGTGATATAAGAAGAAATAGCTACCGGCAGTGTAAAAAACGAAGGAAACCGTATGGACGTCCACCATGATTAACTTAGACCCTTTAGACTTCTTATAGGTTTTCCAAAACCTTAAAGTTGAATTTGGAAGAAGTGGTCTTCGAAGACTTTGTAGAGGACATCTAAATATTTCCAAAATGATAGAGTGGGTCAAAATCCAAGTTTGTTTAGGCCTCCAAACAATATTTCATATTCTACTCTAGAAAACCGATTCGAATCCCATTTAGAGCCCGGATCAATTATGGAGTTTAATTCATATTTAGAATTTTAGAACTTCAATTGATGCAAGCCCAAACTCAAGTAATACTTAATAGGCATATCTACAAGTCTTATGAGGTCTTCGATCCAAATTAGGTTGTTATCATAGAGGAATTCAGCTGCAAAGTAGAATCCTAAGGTTAGGTGTATAAGTTGAGTTGGTGTCGATATTTTGCTCGTAAATTAATCAATAAATATCCAATTGATGCAATCTTAATGTGTTGGAAATCTAAAGAATAAGGCTACAAATTTTATGCGTAATGAAAACCGTAATTCGACTTTTATCAAGTTCATCATAACCGATTATTTAAAGAGACGGAATGAAGTGAAAATTCCACACGAGTAGAAGCTTTTGATACGGGATGAAGGCAAAAAATCACATGGGAAGAAGCTTTTGACATGGGATGAAGGCAAAAAGGCACATGGCCATATCCCTTAGTCAAACAAGCCATGTATCACAACAAACAAGCCATTTGGGGCTATCCTTATAACACTATCTTTTGATATAAATAGAGAAGTTATGGTCTCACTTTAATTATTCTCTCATTCTAGGAAGAATTTCACTTATTAGTAACCATCACTCATAGAAACTCTCTCTTTGTAATTGATTATGAGTAACTAAAAATTTTTCTTGATTTAATCAAATTGAAGCTTTTGGTTAATAGTTGTGAGATTATAGATTTATTTTTAAACTTATCTTATTTGGGTATTTTATGTTTTTTTTCATGATTGGTTTAGAGTTATATGATTAAATTGATTAGAGTGCATGCTAATCTTTTAGTCATATTAACTTATTACTAGCTAAGTATTTAAGTTCATATAATTGTTTGTCTAAACTTACCTATGGTAGTAACCAAGGGTTGATTATTTTTTACGTTTTCATTCAATTCCTTAGAAAACATAAAACTAGGTTACATCTTCTCTAGTGCTTAGGAAAGTGGCTTAGCTTCACTTGTCTTTCTCTATTTAATGCTATTATTAGATTAAATCTATCTAGTGCCGAGTAGGTTGTTCAATAGCTAGAGAATTAATTGGGTATCATATATTCGGTTAATGACTAAGTAAAGAAAAACTCGGGTCTACATGTTATTGTCTTACTCGTGAATATTCATATTTAGGATCATGTAATTATTTAATCGATGATCGGCGATCAAACCAAAAGTAGATACTAAAGTTCAACCAAGGTTTTCTTTATATTGTTATCTCAATTTACTTATTTGTTTTCAAGCATCCTACATATAAAACCCCCTTTACAGTACAAGAACATTTAAAACAAAACAAACGATCCATTTACGGTCTTGTGATTGGGTTTAGTGAGGAAGATATAAATTATTAATTTGTTGGTAGTATGACACACCATCGGTGAGCCACCATAAACTGTGCTTTATTGATTAGGCTTTTGGCTTATCCAATTGTTTTTTCTTTATGCATGCAGTATTGCTTTTGATTCATGGTGGTTGGAGGCTTTGCTTTTCTTCGTGTAAGAGTTCCATAATTGATGTTGGCTGTGAATCTCAGGTGGTTGGGCTTGAAGAAATGAGCATCTATGGTGATATCAGAATCATTAAACACCCTTTGCTTGTAGAAGGCTTAGCAATGTTCAGTAGTGCTAGGTTCAATGCTTGTGTTTGGAAAGGGAAATGGAAGTATGAGGTTCTATTGGAAACTTCAGGTGTACAACAGATTGGATGGGCAAACTCGTTCTTGCCCTTTTACTGATCACAAGGGGTGTAGGTGATTCATTTGCATTTGATGGGAAAAGGGTTAGAAAGTGGAATAAGGATCCAGGTAATGTCATTGGATGTTGCATTGATCTGAAGGATCATGACGAGATACTACTTTATAGAAATGGTGTATCCTATGGAGTGGCCTTTCCTGGTATCCTCAAGATGGGACTTGGATCTGGGTATTCTCTCTTTCTCAAGGGGAACGCTGTGAATTAAATTTTGGGCCTTGTCCCTTCAACTACCCCATTCAGGGGTCCCTTCTTAAAACACCTCCTCCTGCAAATCTTTTGGCTACGCAGTTGCTTCAGTGCTTATCAAGGCTGTCAGATACGCAAGTTTTAAAATTCTTCAGTTGGTAAATTGAGGAGATTGAAGAGGCTTGAGTAACTTGAAGAAGTATTTTATCCTGTCTGTCATAAGATATGTGAGGATCTCCTTTTTTTTTTTTTTTTTTTTTACCCTTATTTTATTTTTAATTTTCTATTTTTTCTGCTAAATTTTTCAGATTTTTTTTTAAAAAAAATTTTCCACATGACAAATTAAAATCTGACATGGCATACCACTTAATTTTTTTTTTTTTATGCCAAATGGCAGTTTCAATTAAAAAAAAAATTAGCCGAAAAATAGTTTGTTGCAATTAACCTTCACAATTAATACCATCATTCCGCCCTTCCTATTGGAGGGTTACTTTTTCATTTAAAACAATATATATACTCAATTGAATAAAATCCAAAATGCAAGTACTCAATTGACCAAATTGACAATAGAGAGGCTTTTATTTATTTTACTTTTTTTTTTTTTCTGATGAATTTCTTAAAACACAGTGCAAATTATGGATTTGGACTATTGTTTTTCTATAAACATTTACAATTGTAGTAATTCACGTGTCAAATGACTCCGGAGGCTGGCCATCAACAAGAGAGGGACAGACAGAACGGGTTTTAAAGATCTTAAAATTTGTTCATGATTATGGTACATTGGAACTTGTCTCCCGCCAATGGTTCCTCTTGCACAACAGTCGGAAGTGTAAAACTTCTATTAAAAAAAATGCATGCAGTAAACCATAGTCCAAATAGATGATTAAAGAAAAAGCTGTGTAGAAATAATCTGGCGTACAAAAGCATGCAACTGATACGCAACACCACCAATGATTGATCAGGAACCGAAACTGAAAAACAAAATTGGATCCTCTAAGCCCTTTTAAGTTGACTTTATTTAGGCTTCTGTATAATCTCTTCACGGTAAAGTAACCTCCTCTTGTTTGAACCATATCCTTGATACTGGTAGATGATGCTGTTAAGACACTGCCTCGGACATATCACTTCGACGGTCTCAATAAACCTCAAGTTAGTGGTCCTCCATTTCGCCCCACGAGAACACTGACAAACACCAATTTTGCAGTTTTTCAAAGCAACCCACAAGGCAACCTGTCTGACGCTGCATCATCGACGGGAATGGAAGGTGAGAGTCTCAAAAATAACAACTAGAAGGCCAACGGTTAAGGTAACAACTACTGAGGAGCTTATCAAGTATGATCTTAAAGGCTATACAACATCAGTCACGCAAAAGATCAGACTTGAACCTATCATTAGTTTGCTTTTTTTCACAGCATATGGAGTTTTTATTTGGAAACGATAAGGATTTTAGTGGAAAGGAGAATGAATGGCACTAATGTTGTGGAAACTTGGGAACAGATAAACCGGCATGATATCTGAAAAAGCTCATCATCTTAACTTAATAATGGCCGTTCATTTCCACATATTTAAATGTTCATACTAGGAAGAAAAAGAGTACCTTTAGCATGGGAGAATCAAGTAATAAACTTTGTGATTATGAATGTTATACAAGTCAAATTAGTTGAGCATTTTCAAATTGTAACAAGAACACATTGCTATTCCTGATGAGTGTACATGCCAGACAATCCAAGAAAACCTAATCTATGAGAAAGCAAATGGAAAGAAGCAAAAATAAAAGCTTCTTATTAATACATGTTGAGTATGGTAATTATTAGTTACTTGAATTTGTGTGTGTATGTGCGCACGAGCGGGACATAAGCAGAGTGAATGATTATATATCAAGAACCTTTCCTTGTTCTGTCAATCATTCACTCTGCTCATGTACTAGAATAGTATAACAAGGAAAGGTTCTTGAAAATAAAAAAGATAAACTTACCATCTTGCCTTCCATTCCAAGCAGGAAGAGCTTAACATTATGAGCATCAAGAAAGTCCATATTCTCTTGAGAATGCCTCGGGACATAAGGATCTGCTCAAATGTCAAATAAATACTGCTAATCAAGGAAACCGAAATTGGAGGTTTGGAATTCCAGGATCAGTTGTTGCTGTCGATGTTGCAGGGGATAATACACCACACCACCAGTACAAGTAGTACTGATAATAACATTATCTACAGTCGGCTATAACATCATCATCATCATCATCATCAAATAATTGCAAACAAAAGCCAAGATTTAGCCAAATCCGAAAAGAAAAGGAACAAATTTGAAAAACACCCATATAACATAACCACATGATAATCATATGTCTAATATACATTCCACCAATAATCAAAAGAAAGGAGCAAAAACATTGGAAGATTCCACTTAATCTCTCGCTCTCTCTCTCTTTTCCCAAAATACCATCATCCTTGAAAAAGATAACAACATCATCATCTAAACATCACGAACATACCCAGAAACCAAAATAAAGAAAACACAAGTAAAAGATCAGATTCATAATAATAATATTATTATTATTATTTCTTGAAACTAACTTCACTTCTTGAGGCTGCCTCGAACACCAGGACGAGGTTTGGAAGAATCAGCAGCGTGAGTGGCATGAAGATTGGAAAGCTTCTCTTCCTCAAAAGGGAGCTTCGGGTGTCGAGCATCATGATGGATCTGCATAGTTTTGATATCTGGAGCTGTGATCTTGCAATGCGGACACTCATATTTGGCATGACCCCCTTTCTCTTGTCCTGTCCTGTCTGCAACCCCTGCTTTCCCTCCTCCTCTGTTTGTTGTCGCCGCATCTACTTTCGAAGCGATCTCCTTCGCCGTGTGCTTCTTAGGCTTAGCCTTTCCTGTCATAATTGCTTCGCTTTGATTTGCTTTCTGGGGTTTGATTAAATAGTGAAAACCCTAGAGCAGAAAGAGGAGCTTTGCTTTTTGATTGAGAGGGGGAGGCTGCTTTGTGTATGAGGGCCGCGTTATTTCCTTCTTTATATAGACGGCCAATAAGGCTTATCTGCTGCTTGGCTGCGGTTTTTGCTGTCAGTGTTACGGTATGTTTAGGTTTCCATGCCTTTGCCTACGTGCTGCGTTTTCGCTGATTCCAACCTTTATTCATTATTTTACCATTTCTTAAGGGTTTAGGACAATCCACATCAAACTCTAGGCTGTGTTATGTTTATGATCCAGACGACGGTAAGATTATGACCAAAAGTGAAGAAAATAGTCTTTTCCCCCCGCTAATGCATTGTAAAATAATGAATTATGAGGTAAATAGTTAAATCGGTCTTACATAACATTTTTAGTATCTTATATATTTTTAGATTTCTAATTATATTTTATTTATTTTTTAAAATTTTAAAATATTCAATATGTTTTTCTAGTTAATTTTTTTTTACCATTGATAAATTTTTTGACCTAAATAACTTTTAGCAAATATATATATATATTCAAGTTGAATTTTTATGTTGATGGGTATTCAACAACCTAAATCCTATTACTTACTTTGTCAAGATAGGGTTGGATCATGTAAATGGTCAAAAAATCCTAATTACATGACATTGAAAGACCTTCATAATGTGGTTATTGAATGTGGATATAAGACACCTAGATTTATAGTATTTAAACAACCTAGGTTAAGTCTAAGTGAGGGAGGGTTAATTATAGATGACGGTGAGGTTTTTATGAAGATACTAAATATTGTATGTGAACATGGGTCTCATTGATGTGTATGTTGAGGTAGAAGAGGAAGTGGAAGGTAATGGTAGTTTGGGTGAAAATATAGTTGCTACAATTGAAATGGAAAGCGATGGAGATGTAGGTGATGATGATAATAAACAAAATATAAGTAATGATAATAATGAATAAAATGTTGCCGATGATGATCGTGAACAACATGTTGATAATGATAACAATGAACGGAATGTATGAGATGTAAGTGCCGATGATAATGAGCGTAATGGCGATAGTGGTGGTGGTGATGATGATGATGATGATGATTACTTACCAATTGAGGAACCATAGAGTAATAGTAATTTTAGTGATGGTGATTCTAAAAGTTGTATGGATGAAGAACTAGTTGAGCTTAGAAAGAAAAAGAGGAGCATGATGAGAAAGTGTGGCTCTAGACTTCGTTTAATAATGAATGTATGGTTCCTACCTTATTAGTTAGAAGAAGTAATGAATCACAAGGCCTAATATACCTTAATTTACTAAAGGAGGCTACATAAGTGAATATGACAATAGTGAGGATGAGCAAATTACCCCTCCTAGAAGTGATGAAGACGATGTATTTGCTTATACAAGAAGGAAAAAAAAAAAAGAGAAAAGAAAGATTGTTTATGATCTCACATATAACCATAAGAACTTAGTGTTCAAGGCTAGAATGAAATTCACATATGAAAAAAAAAAAAAAAGGAAAAATTAAATGAGCTATGTAATTATATGGTACTAAAAATGGAAGAGATTGGGTAAGAAGTTTAAAAGGAGTTATGGAAGCTAAATGTGTACAAGGTTATAGATAGGGAGTGTATACAAGTAAGAAGTAATTAGAGCACACATTTAAAGTGAAGAGTGTCAATGCCGACCATAAACGCGAAAGATCATTGACAAATAGACTAGCTTGTCATTTGTGGGTAGCTAAAACATATATCCACAAGTTTCAAAATAGCCCTAATTGGCCCGGGAAGGAACTATAAGATGTAGTTAATAAGAGGCATGCATTAACTATCAATATTCAAATGTGTTATAAGGTTAAAAATTTAGTTATAGAGATGTTTAGAGGGTCCCTCAATAAGCATTATGCATGGTTGAGATCATATATTCTTGAGTTGAAGAGGACGGATAGGTTAGGAACATTCTATTTTGAACCTATAGAGTGTGGCAATTTTGAGTTTTGAAGATTCTATATTGCATTTTCAATATTAAGAAATAGTTTTTTTGGGTAATTGTAGGAGAATGTTTATTTTTTATTGTTTTTTTTTAAAACACTTTTAGGAGGTTGTTTATTAACTATAGTAGGAAGGGATGTTAATGAGCAAATGTTTCCCATTGTATGGGCTATCGTGGATAGTGAGAATAGAGAAAACTAGAGATGGTTTATAGATTTGCTTACAAAGGATTTTGGCATCATTGATGAAAATTCTTAGATAATAATAAGTGACCAACAAAACACAAGTTCAAGCATACCTTTATTTAACTCACTAATTTAATATTTATAAATTTAAAATCACTTACCTTTTTTGTAATCCAAATGATTGTTTACTTATGACTACAAGAACTATAGAAAGTTGTCAATGAATACATGACAAACCGTGAGCATAGAAACCGTGCACAACACATTTATGCAAATTAGAAAAAAAAAAAACAAAATGGTGAGTCTGTACAAGAAGTTGTTCGAAGGGTAATGAATGCTACTAATTTGGTGGATTACAATACTGGATTGAAAGAGTTGAAAGTGGTGGATGAGGCAGCCTTGGATGACTTCTTAAAGATAGAGCCTCTAAAGTTTTAGAAGGCTTTCTTTAGACTAATCGAAGTGTGATATATTAGTGTAGGTGCTCTAGATCTAATCTGTTTGGATTGTTTGTACATTGTATCATTACATATTTATTAATAAAGAATTCTTTCTATTAATTCATGTTATTTATAACTTGATTGAATTTATATGATGTTCGTTGCTTTAGTGATTAATCAATAGATGTAAGATAATCACCAATTCGCTTAAATAAAATCATTAAATATCCCAAGTCATAGTATTATCGAAATTGGATATTGACAATATGCAATAGGAATTGTGTGTGCTATGTTGTTGCTATAGGATAGTAGTAGGAGATCTCACACCTACTAGCACGGTGATGCCTAAACAAACACATAGGTAAATAATGTTAGAGAATATATCACCGAACATGACTCACCATAAGAACTTATTTGGTATAGTCTATAAGAATCTCTTACGAAAAGAGTATAAGTAGTCCTTTGACTTGAAGTTATCACGATCATCTCGTTAGATGATTAGTGTACTTTGATATTCGTTAGGTACATCAAGAATCTAAGGGAGATAAGTGGATAACTAAGATATGATATGTAATTCTTATATACTAAAAAAGTTATCACATTATATTTCGATGAATGACCATAGTGGGAGTATACTAATAGAGCATGATTGGTTTACTTGAGAGATAAGACATTCAAAAACCGAAGAAAACTTATGTGATTATAATCGAATATACACCAAACTAAGTTTGAGATTACATTGTGATAAATTGACATGAAGACTAAATTATATGAAGCCATTCTTGTGAAAGGTTGTTACAAATTAAAAAATTCTTCTTGATAATTGCATATTATGATATTTTGCTAGAGGTCAAGCTTGATTTATGTATCGAGAGATAAAAGGAATCATCTTTTGTTTCTTGATACATTGTCAATATATCTAGAAATCTAATGAGTCACGTGCATTAAGCTTAGCACTAATATGATAAGAGAAGCAAAGAATTATAAAGAAGATGACAATTGAAATAATTGATTTCAATTCTTTAAACACCGAGAGAACTTTGAAAAAAAAATGTTTCCCAAAATTCAATAAGAGTAATTTAGAAAATAGTTTTCTACATTTAGCCTACCTAGAATACTCGATCCAAACTTATTTATATGATCCATCTATTGCTGGGTCATTAAGCCTAAGGAGTTGGGCTAATAGCTTAAATGAAAGCCTATAAGAGATATTTTAAAAGGAGACGTATTTTTTAGAAATTTTGAAAAAGTTCATGAAAACCCAAATTAGGGTTTTAATACATAAAAAAGCATCAAGCCACCCTCTTTCTTATTAGACCAAGGCTAGTTAAAACCCACCAAAAAGAAAAAGGTGGAATTTTCTTCATTGTTCAACAAAAGTGGAGCTAGCATTCTCGAATTTTCACCTCTCTTTTGCTGGTATCCAAAGCTACTTGGATTATTACTAGATACCGTACACTTAAACAATTCAATCCACAACCTTATGACTTCACTTCGAGAGGTAATGAATGAAACTTTTTATTCTAATTTATTTGATTCAACGGTGATCTTAGGAGCTATGATCGGAGGAAAATAAAATTTCTTATTTAGTTGGCTCCTTTGGAGGAAGATTATCCTTTATAATGCATCTATAAACGGTATGTCAAAAGCCTTTAATGCGACTATATACAAGGTTAGAATAAAGCCATTGATTGATTTGCTTGAAGATACTATGACCTATGTGATGGAGATGATGTACATTAAGAGTAAGATATTTAAGTCAATCAATGATGAAATCTGCCTAAGAATAAGAAGAAAGCTAGTAAAAATTAAACTAGAAACATGTGTATCTAGGATAGTACCCGTAGTTAGTGATAGATTTCAAACAAGATTTGATGAGTATACATATGTAGTGAATTTGAAAAAGCATACATGCAACTAAAGGGAATGGGATATTAGTGGTTTTTCATGCAAACATACGAGTAGCTAGCATTGCTTTCATAAGGGATGACCTTACAAATTATGTTGATCTTTGCTTCAAGAAGCAAAGACATGTGTGAACATATTTGAATGGTCTTAAACCTTTGAATGGCTTCAAAATATGGCCTAGTAGTGAAGATCGTAAAGTATAACCCCCTCCTTATAAGAAAATGTCGTGAAGGTCAGTTTATTTGGCAAAGTTATCTTGCTACTCTCTTTTTTCATTTTTTATTTTACTTTTGACAATTAAATAATTATGGTACATTATTTTTGAAAAGAAAGGTCGATGCAAAAAAGAAGAAAAGCTCAAGGTGAAGAAAGGAGAAATACAAACAAAACATCTAAGCTAAAAGTTTAAATACAATGTCAAAATTGCAATGCCTATG